TTACTTTTGTTTCATCACAAGGTTTCGAAACTTTTTATATATTACAGACTTCTGACAAGCTATTATAGATGTATGATGAAGACTAAAATCTTGAGTTATAACATTTTGGATGGCTATTACGAGATTGGAACATTCCAGCCTGTCATGCGATCTTCTTTTTTAATATGATATCAATAATTAACAGTTTCGAAGCAAAATAAGTCCTAGTGACCAAGCTTGTAGAGTTAAAAATGGAGTGGCCTGCTTTTTCAAACGTTGGAGTAAGAGGCGTATTTTCATATCATCCGGAGCCGGGATAATATTCTGAAATCAAGAGTTTAAGTCAAAATTTACGACCAATGGCTTACAAACGACGACGTTTTTGCAGTCCAAAACTGCTGGATTCATCAAACTTGAACGGAAGTACATTATTTGAAAGTAGGTAGTATGAACGTTAGTCGAATAGAACGTTTATTCGGTGACCTATATCCGATAGTGACGTTTAGACGTACAATACAAGAGAGCGAAATGAGATGTGTAAAGTCAAATAGTGTTATTCTCTTTTGAAATGTAGCTGAGGGTTTGTCTAGGGCTAGGCGGTGACCATACGTCCTTCTTTTGGATGATTTGTCCTCCTTTTTCACTGGATTAAATATTTAAAATTCTCTTATAATATAATCAAATGTTTTTAAGAAAATTTTAAAGTAAGTAGAAACTTGTAAATATCATTTCACATATGACACGCATGACGCAATGCATTGAGATGGTAGCATACGAGATACCGTTAGGTCAGTGTTTTTACCATGGGTTCGGTGGAGCTGTTCCACGGGTTTGCCGAATGTCCTCTAGATTCTAGAACAGTTATATATAATAAAATCTCTCTAGTAACCAGCCTACTAATTAGAAAAAATATTAAAATTACGATAGTTTATCGTAGACATACAGTCTTACACGTTTAAACAACTCGCAAAATAGCTTAGCCGGGTGTAGCTTCGCGCAGATATACTTTTTACTGGACATGTCAATGGCTGTTACATCATGAATTCAGTTCCCTTTATTAAAACTCATATCAAAATGGCGCTAGTTCATAATGTAGGCTATCTCAATTTCATCAAATATCCGTGAAAAAAACATTAATCCGCACGCGGATGCAGTTTGAAGTTTGGGAAACGAATGACTTGAGCTACCAACATTTTTGAGTTATGATCTTCCGAATTTCAAAAATGCAATTTTATACAACAAAAGATGGTTGCTGCTGGCACCACTGTGACACAACAATGAATATTTCCACATACATTCGTATTTAAGGTTACACCACAATGATCATTTTCTATAAACTTGCACAAAATTACCTTCTCCTTTGTGAAGTTCTGATTGCGCTCCTAGTTTCAACCGTTGAATGGGGACGGGAGCTTGCACAATAGCGTAGACTGCAGGGGTCGGCCGGCCCGCGACGCTTCACTGAATTATACTAACAAAATCTGTTTTGACGATTATATTTTTTACGTAACAGAATTTATTGTGAGATAAGTGTAGACTGAATTACTGTATATTGTAATTTAACAAGTATAAAATTCACAATTACTCGTTTAATGAGCCCATAATTTAATTATTATTAGGCGAAACGCAGAAAAGTTAATGCTAAGTCCAAAGGGTTCAATGGCGCCGAAAATATTTAGATAAAATTTTTTGAGATGCGATGCAATGAGGAAATAAGTCTATATTCTATTCGAGAGATGTATCACTGGTTGGTTTTTATCATAAAAAGTATCATCCGTTCGGTTCTCAACTTTCTGAAAATATGTGCGGCCCGCCAATGACTTGCAACCCTTAAATTTAGCCCGCGAGCGACAAAAGGTTGTCGACCCCTGGCGTAGAGGTTCGATAGACCCGCAAAAGTTAGAAGCACTGCTCTAGGTTATATGCATACTTGTTTATCACGTAAAAATCGTGATGTTCTGCAATTATTTTTTACATCATTTCATATTGTATTTCGCAATTTAGTGTAGTTTCGATTTGGGAGAAAATTACGTCAGTAGACCTAGTAAAAATCTTTCTTATACCCTAGAAATAAAGCAGAAGTATTCATGCTTAAGAAAAGATCGAACTGATAGCGAAGCGGAGTGCATTACGTGGCAAAATTTATCTTACAGATGCACGTTAAGACAAAAATGCAATATTGCAATGTCGGCACTTCGTCTATTGTCACTTCCATATTTAGGCCTTGATAATTTAGTAGATATACACTGTATATATCTCAGGTACAGGTGAAATATGTTCTACCGAATGGTGATGAAATATGGTCACCCTAGATTTGTCATAAAGCGTAGTTGTAATGTACTCGAATATTTTTTTTATTGTGAGCGATTTTAGTATAATTTTGACATTTTTCCGACATTTTGTATTGAGAATATTGTTATATGATATTTTGGACATGAAGCGGACATATAGATCGTTTTAATGTTATGTTAGAATTAATTTTCATGTTATTGTTGTTATGAAAAATAGATTTTCTCCCTAATTACTGGACCAATTGCTTTGAAATTTTCAGTGGTGAAAGATTATTATACTCATAGCGTTAAAATCATTCACTAGTATAAATGTTATATATGGTAGTCGGTACCTGTGATTGACTCCCCTCCAGTCCCCACAATATACTATACTTAACATTTTCGTGAAACCTAGGGTAATAGGGTAGAAATCAGATTATTATTATTTTTTAAATTACATAACGAAAGTCTTTGTATGTGAGGACGAGGGGAGATATTCAGCGAACCGGTCGATCCTTACTAAAAGTTGCAGGTATCTTATTTATGAATAAAGACCACATTGGTACAATGGATATATTAGCTGAATAAATAAAATGAAGTTCAATTACATTTTGACACTGTGCATTTTAAATATTTATTATTGTTCTATTTTTGCGCTTATAGATGTTTAGGACAATTGCTAATCAAGATATATCATATTATTTATATTTTATATCCAGATAGAAGAAAATAGATAAGCAGCTTAATCGTGTAGCGAAATTTTGACTCTGAGCTCCGTACTAATATAAGTGGGGCATGGAAGATAGATAGCTAAACATTAATTGTTTCAGATGCGTAGACTCGAATTGTTGAGGAAGCCGCAATTGCCGGTCAAATACGTGTACCACTCTGTGGCCAAAGTCTTCACTATGGCCGGTCAATTTTATGTGATGTTTAACAATAACGTAAATATTTCAATTTCCCGTTAATTTGTTCCAGTGATATCTCCATACAATTCACATTCAGTGCTATCATACGAAGTAATATAAGACGGGCAATGGAGGTGAGATTAAAAATCATTACAGACTATATATAATATATATACGTGTATGGCGAGCGTGCGAAATGAACTTGGAAGCCATTGACAAGTTTCGGTCACATTATTGCACCACAGACTGGAATCGTGGCTTGTGAACTTTTTATTCACGCGTATGGCGTATCGCGGTTGCTTGCTCGGACTCGGCGGTTTGCCGCGTCGTGCTGAGCGTTAGGAATACTCTCGCCACCGCACCTCTGACTACCCTGCGTGGGTTGAAATCCCATGCGGGGATAGTTATGTGCGAGAGGATTGCTGAACTCCTCGCCGCGTGGGGTGGTTCTCGTAACCTGGTCGGTACGGCTTCCTACACCATCAAGTCCGTGCTTCCGAAAACAAATAACTGGCTGACTAATCCCATACCCGACATGGACTCGACGAGAGGCCCTGGTTCGCCATTTGATTAAGTCGTCTTATTGGCTTTTTTCTCCTCCGGGATAAATATGTAAATCCCATCCTATCCTAAAATCACGATGAAACATACTGACGACATTTACCCATTATTCCTTCCACTAAAAAAACATCTACGTCATCTGCTTATCTAATTATCGGAATTTTACGTCTTCGCTCAGAACCAGGCATTATTTTAGCAGTCAGCTATTAACGAATTAGCGTACCACGAAAAGTTCAAGTTAAAAATCAAGTTCTTCATTTTTTTTAATTAACGGTGCGGGCAATTGATAGAATTTGTTGATTATCGCATTTCCTTATCTTTCACAAGAAATACATTTTATTTCTAGTGATAAGAAAACGATGGAGGGGTTATTCCACCATTTCTGATAAATATGACACTATATTCGGTATACACGTTGAAAAAATAGTCGCTCTTTAGTCTTCACATATCAGGGAACAGAGAAGACTTTAAGGAAAATAAACGCTACTTTTGAACTGGTTTCGCATAAAATGAGGCTAAAAAAATATTCAAGCCAAGGAAGCATAAAGTATTCGATAATTCGAATCATGTTTGTAAATTGTGATCTCTCGGTGTAAATTTCTGGCTATCTTGCGCCATCTAGAGGGCTTTTTTGAATGAATGATTATTCGGTATGTTTATCGACAGTCTGGCCATAATTGTCGACATTGCCATTTGCCATGGACAGATTGAGGTGTTATACTCATCTGCCCATTAGGTGGTTATACCTCATTGCGCAATACAGTCTTGCTACACAAAGACAGACAGAGGAAAGGTGACAGAAATATCTGAATATATTTGTGTTAGAGAGCATTACTTTTAAATTGATTAAAAAAGACTAATTATTTTTAATAATGTACGGTAGTGATTCATGAAAGCATTATGATGCTGTAATGCAAGGAATTCTATTATCATGAATAGCTTTCTTCCATTTCATAATTTCCCTCTCAAGATCTATTAGTCTCTATCATTTGCCGAAAATCTCTTGGTGCCTATGTGATGAATGAATCCCACTTCCAGACTTCACATATTACAGTATTATCTCGGACCTCTATCTGTCTATGCTTTGAATTCAAGTCTTTCTGTCTTTATACAGTTATAGTAGTTCAGTTTCAGACTACTGAAATATGCCTTCCACTTTTCAGATTCAGAAATTACAGAATTAGTAGGTCTGTAGGTGAAAATACAGAAATACTAAAATAGTACGTTAGATGGGAACATGGCGCATTTATGAACAGTCATTTAAATAAATATAATTGTATAATTATTTTAGATAAAGCTTTATTAAAAATAGAATGCTAGGCAATGTTTTATTAATATGAATAAGACAAAAAATAAGTGAATATGCCACTTCGTCTTTTGAAAGTTGGTGGTGCTTTATTGGGAGCCTTTGCTGGTGGAGGGATACTGATGTCCTATTATGACGTGACACCTCTGCGGTCTGCCAGAGTTGCTAAGACGACCTTATCTATCATTCTTGACTACAAGCTAACTTTGAGGAAATTCGACAACGATACTGATGAATATGAGAGAGCACTTTCTGAGGTATCAATGTAAAATTTCTATATTTAAATTTCACCAAATTTTGAATATTCAAAAAATAAAAGATTTTGTGAATAGCCCGCTATATGACACCTTTCATGCTATCTCAAATTTCAGTATACTTGTTTCAGTGTTAAAAGTGTGTAGAGAAAGTTTTAAACATTTTTGGTGTGTGCCACTGAAAAAAATATACTCCATTCCGTTTATATCTCATGTCATGATTGATTCATTTTACTGGTCATTTGTAGCATTCAGTGACTTTTTTTATGTTTACATCCGACATGGACCATTTCCCATATCCAAATGAAGGTTTGTCATTGAGAATTTATAATGAATAAAATATCTAAAAAAACATTAATGAAGATGTTACTTTGGTACTAAGCTTTTAAATTGAAGGCTCACAAATCGTTTCTCATCTTCAGATATTTACATTTCAATTGAAACAAGTCAAAATTAACTAACAAGTTGAAATTATGAGGAAAAATTTAGAATACAATTTTAATATCTCTTATGTATTTTATCTTTAGGCACACACTCGATCAGCTCACAAGATATATGATTTATGTTGTATAAACAAAGGCACATATATTAAGATGGGACAATTGCTTGGAGCATTAGATTACATTCTACCTCATGAATATACAACAGTATTGAAAGTATTCCATGATGATGCACCAAAGAGTACATTGCAAGAGATTGAGTCGGTAAATACATAAAGATTATGATGGCAGTGAGAGCATTAGACTTAAAATATGACAGCCCAGGTTTAAGTCGGGTAGGCAATCATGATTTTTTCCTAACTAGAGTGGCTTTTTGCCTAGCAGTTGCTGCTTGTGCAGGGTCTTGTTTGGAGCAAAATATTTGTCAACATGTATAGAAAAAAAGACAAGAAATGAACGAATGTCAAATTAAGTCAACTATTATGTAATAAATTGAGAGCATGCAGACCACAGCTTTTCAATTCTATATGGTAACTCCAGAAATACAATGCAACAACGAATGCGCAAGGCTTCAGATTTTTAGAATTTGAATCTTGGAAAGGGTTCACCAAATGTAAATAACGAAGACACTTTGGCAGTGGTTCATTTTCGGGAGACAGATTTTTAACAAGTATAGCACTCACACATATATGTACAGGTGAATGAAAATGAATTTTACTGGTCGTGGTGAGATGAATATTAAATCTAACTTATATATTGAATCAGTATTACATTCTAACTACATCAGAGCTATTGTTTTCAGACTTACGGAATGTGTAGGATTATTTGCGAGTGTTGGAGAGTGTGACATTCTCATTGAATTTCTTGTTGCAGATATTACTGACAATACTGTTGACTTTGTTTAGGTTGTCAAAAATGATTTATGCATTGACAATCTGGATGAGTTGTTCATCAATTTCTCACCAGAACCTATTGGAACAGCATCTTTAGCTCAAGTGCACACTGCAATTCTACGTTCTACAGGTGAAAAAGTTGCTGTAAAAGTTCAACATCCGAAAGTGCGAGAGCATGCTGATTTTGATATGAAAGTGACTGATAGTGCAACAAGGTGAATAAAGTACGTTGTTTTTTGTTTATAATTTATACCTGCGTACTTTTTTCATAAGTCTAGCTATTTCACTTTGTTGCATTTTTCCAAGTTTTATGTGTAATTTAAACTTTATCACCCAAGCCAGTTTATTGTAAGACTACACATCAATACTATGCTCCATATACAAATTTATGATAGTAATGACTACATACATGCTATTAAAGTGCAGTTTGCTCACGAGTCAGTCATGCTTTGCATCACTTTTCTCACTTTATAGGTAAAACAACTGGTTATTTTAAATAAATTTTCCATCTTTTTTCACTCAAAAACTTTACTTCTTATACCGTAGATTGATGACGAGCTCTTGTTCCTTTTTCTATTTTTTGAAATTTCAATTTCCAGTGTATCTCCTGTCACTGTGTTTGCCACCTTGGGTAATATATGCAAATGGCAAAGTTTGTGTTTGTAATACTTCAAGTTCTTAGTGTAATGCCCTGAATAAACCAACAATAGACTCTTGAATCCCATTTAATTAAACTCATTGTGTGTCTCAGATTGGCTGCAAAGATATTTCCAGAATTCAATATGGTTTGGTTATCAGAAGAAACTCAGAAGCATCTACCTCTAGAACTTGATTTTTTACATGAAGGAAAAAATGCAGAAAAAGTGGCTGAGCAATTGAAATGCTTTGAATGGCTCAAGGTATCTTTAACCTTATGATTTTGTCGAACCTGCCTAAACGCTGATTTAAAAAAATGAATTCCTTGTTTCAAAAATAGAAGCTCCAGAATGTGAACCAAGATGGCGCACAGCCTGAACATAGTTATGTGTACCAGATTAGGGTTCAGGTTGTGTGCCATCTTGGTACACATACTTCTAGAGCGCCCAAAAATAAAGCTAGTTAGCAACTCATGTGAGGAGGCTGCTTAAGTAAAATGCACCTTCCCAACAATTCTTATTTTATTCCTGGTTGTTGAAGTGCCACTGTTTCAGAGTGTCAAAAAGCTAATTTTATTTTGATACACATTATTGTGCTGATTTGCCAAAATATAAAAACCAAATGTCCAAACTAACATAAATAAACAAGTATGACAGGAAGTTTAATGAAATAGCAATTTGGGAAAAATAATACCTTGATAACAATGTGCTTTTACAGGATATTCACTATTGAAACTTGCAAGATTTTTAATACTTCTTTGTTTATAACAATAATAAGGTTCCTAAGATACATTGGAATATATCAAGTGAACGTGTCTTAGTGATGGAATATTGTGAAGGCGGGCAAGTCAACGATTTGGGTTATTTCAAAAGAAATAATATTGACTGCAATCATGTTTCAAGGTATGCTGTCCACTAGAATTTAATTTTTTGAGGATATGTTAATTGTCACAACTTATATTTGAGATTTATGATTGGGTCAAAATATAGTTGAAATATGCCAGATCCGAAATTACTTTCGTCTATCCACCAGTTGTACTTTGTAGAAAAGTCGATTTTACTTCAAAACTGACTGTTTGCAAATTAGTACTGAAATTGTTGTTTGTTTATTTTGTTGTTAGTTTTTCGCATCATACCTTACCTACTGAGCATAATTATGATTTAACCTGATTGGATCTGTTTTTTATCACATTCTGTATTGACTTGTGAAAAATACTAATTATTATTTGCCTTTGTAAGATATAAGATCTCTGGTAGTTAGAGGCCAGATCAAGCTCTCTCTACCTGTGACCAGAAATGGGTAGCCGAATTGAGATTTTAATTTTTTTGAACTTGATATCCATGAACTATCTGTTTAAACTGGAATAATATTTGAGGCAAATATAAAAAAACTCATAAAACGCTCATAGAAATTTTCATCAGCTATGACCGTAAATTTTTCAAATTCATTGTCAAATAAGTGTTATCTATTGTACTAGGTCAGTGGTTCTAAAACTTTCTTATCCTTGGGGTCTGCCTCCTTTCAAATACACTTAACACTTGTGGGCTTTGCTTCTAATAGATTCTCCAGTTATTTTGTTCGCCACATTTGCACAAAAAGCCAACAAACATAGGTAAAAGAACAAATGCATTACAGTCAAATATTATATATATAATTAAACAAAATCACAACTTATTTACCTTAGTTAAATATGGTCATCACGAATGGTACTTAACGAGGGAATGAAGGCCGTTGCTCAAGTCTTCCAAAGAGCCACTTCGTGGCACCCTATGTGGCTATATGTAAATTGGAATTATTTTTATGTTTGTAAATTTTCAGACTTCTTGGCAAACTATTCAGTGAGATGATATTTGTTCATGGTTTTGTGCACTGTGATCCACATCCTGGTAATGTACTTGTGAAAAGAAGAAGTGATGAAGAGCGAAAGATTCTAGATGGTTCTTTCCTGAGTTTAAGTTGGATACGAAGCTTTTTACCATTTTTCTTAGGAGGAAAATCCAGATGCAGTGAAGTTGAACTTGTATTGTTGGATCATGGACTTTACCAAACACTTGATGATGATTTTAGGTGAGATATATTTTTTGAACTTGAATGTCAGATATTACTTGATATTACTAATAAATTGAGTGGAAGAGATGTTAATTTGAGGATATTTTAGTATTTCGAAAGCTCGCCTTACAATTAACCAATGGTTTCAATTTCATTAACGGTTAACATATTTGAACTGTTTCATGCTAGGTATGAATACGCAGGACTCTGGCAAGGTCTCATCAGTGCAAATGTGAAGAAGATAAAGCAGCATTCTTCCAAGTTTGGAGTAGGCGACATGTATCCTTTATTTGCAACGATGATAACCGTGCGTTCATGGGAAGTCGTCTGTGAAGGCGGCATAAAAAGGTAAATCATTGGTTGGTAAATAAATTCTGGTAGCTCTGGTCCCAGCTCCATCTATCTTGGTAAGCTTGTTTCCAGCTTCTCCGCCTTGCCTTCTTTATAAACTGTCAACACTGTTTTGGTATATCATTGAATATCTCGCATCTATTCATTAAATCCTCGTGCATTACTTTTTTGCTCAATTTAGTTTATCTACATTGATGAATGATGAGTAAGGCTGGATTGCCATTATAACTTATTTATTTCCTACAGGACCAAGTTTTCTGAAGATGAAGATAATTCAATAAGAACAGAAGTACCAGGTTTTCTTCCTGGAATATCAAAAATATTGAACACTGTACCAAGGCCAATGGTAATGCTGTTCAAAACAAACGATTTGTTGAGGATGCTTGAGGTATTTTGAAACTAGAGAATTTCAATGTGATGACTATTTAGGCCTAGTGTTATTTTTTACACTGTAACAGTTTGAATTTCCATCACAAAGTTTTTCTCCAACTTCTCTGATCGTCTTTGAATTCATTGCTCATCAAATTACTCAATACCTGCCATCATGCTTTCCGTTGAGATTAAAAGACATGTTACTGTTAGTTCCAAGCTCCAATGATCTAATCACATTTCGTTTTCATAAAACGAGTAAAACCATTAAGCACATCTATTTTTTTGATATGAATATTATGGGAATAAAGCAATTTAAGGTCATTTTTATAGATAGACATTGTGCATGGTTCAAATGAATGTATTTTTCTACGTATATAACAAATTGATGATATATATCAAACTATCCGAAAGTACATTATGTAATTCTAATTTGTTCGTAGGATCATGTGGACATGAATACAAATCAGATGCGGCTTTCTTATTAATTGCAATACTAAATTTAAGTTATGACAAAAAAAAATTTTCTAGGTACTTCATGGTACCAGATCCGATTCATCTGGTTTCCTAAACATGTCAAAGTGTTGCGTTCGAGCGGTTTCAGACTATGAGGGGAGACATGATACTGGAAGTATACAAAAATTTCGGAGATCACTTTTATTGAAATTAGATCTGGTTAAAATCGTTTTATATGAATATCTGTTGTGGATTCAAACAGTTTTCGCCTTTTCATGACATTGTTGTTTGGTTTATCATTGTGACCTTCTAAGTCTGGTTCCAGTCATCGCTGATGGCGTAGTTGTTTTTAAATTTAGGTTCACTGCATTAGTATTTATTGTTATAAAATTCTAATTATAATAAAGATTTATGAGTGTGTTTACCTATTTACCCGGGCCTGGTACCTCAACCAGGGTGTGATAAATTGATCAGGCAATGCTGAGCAGAAAAAAATACGGATTTTACGAAATCGGGGTCTACATGTCAAAAGCTTTGTGGAGGTGCGAAAAACGTCCAAGAACCGCAGGTCGCTCCATCTTGACAGCAGAGCAGAGATTTGATCACGGGCGCTTTATGTCACCAAGCCATATATTGTTCAATTTGTACGATTCCGGGTCCGCATATGCTTTACAGCAGTGGTTCTCAAACTTTTCAAGCCGCGCGCCTCTTATAGAAATTGTCAAGTCTCTCGCTCCACCTCAAAGATTACTAGCGAACAATAAGCTACAAATAACAAATAGTACGGCTCCACGCTAAGGATAATACCTTAGGCCAGAAGTGGTTTCTTTTTTTTTACCAAAATTAGGCGACCCAACCAAAATTTGTGAGAACATACTACTGACATTTTTAAAGGTAAAGGTCTTGAAGAAATGATAAATATTCACCCAAACTGTAAAAACGCCAAAATTGAATTTATCCATCCCAAAAACAATGCTTTGCTACTTCCAAAGCAGAACATGCCGTTTTAACCGGTATTGAGTTACCTGTCAAAAAAAAAAAATTTGTTTACTTTCTCTTGACATATTAGTGGGACTTCTGATGCTGTATAACCGCTGACAGAGATATTTACATCCGTTTTATATTTTGTAACTGCAGAGAGATACGTGAAGTAGCCTACTATAATAGTTTCATCAGTCAAGCAAATCCCATCAGGAGAAAGAGTTCATCACTGGAAACTCTAGTTGTGCCCAATTAGAAAAACAGCTTTGTAACATAGGAAAAAATGCCCCACTATAAACAATTGCATTTTTTATTGTCCATATTATTTTCAGTTTTTATTAGTGGCAATACATCATAGGGTGTCACAACTAGATAACTTCTTAGGTTTTCTTCACCTGTGAATAACAATGTTTTGCTTCTTTTTGTAAATATATATGTCTTTAATTTTCACATTGTGATAAATAAATATTGGGCTACAGAGATCCACAAGTACATTTTGAAACCAATTTATACCAATAATTAAACAAGCAACTCTAACTAGCATGCACTCGACAACTTCGTAAATCTAGCAAGAATCAATAAAAAAAGTGGCACAGACGAACTATATCACGTAAGAGAGTAGCCAAATAAATCCTACGCTTGTCTCGAGTACAATTGTCTGTAGGTTGAGAGCTCTGCTAGAAGTTAGGTTATAATATATCACTTTGAAACCATATTCCCTTTCTCCGTAAAGGAAAAAAGTTTTACTAAATATCGGATTGTTAACAAACGAAAATGAAAAACCAAAAACCTAGTTTCATCAGATAATACCTATCCTTTAAAACTTTTTTAATCTGAGGGGCTAAGAATCTCGTGCCAATTTTGGCACACTTGCCAGGGGTTTCCCCTTCCTATGCCGTGCTATTTGTGAGGCCACTCTTTATCAGTGACGTCATAGAATATCATCGAATTAGTTATTGTGTCATAATAGGAATCGCGCTGTTATTGAAATGTGTTATGACGCCATAAATAAATTTGGAATCGTCCAAGTAGATTGTATAGTAAGTTAAATTTAAGGAATTCGGGGATGCAACAAATTTTCATGGCACCAAAAAACGATATCTTAATATACCCGTTAGGGCCCAGGGCTGGGCAATTATTTTTGCTATCGGGCCACATCGGATATTCAAAATGCAGTGGCGGACCGGACTAAGTAAAGCCAATTGTGCGTTTCCAATGCATTTCATTACACATTTAAATAAAACAAAGTACTATTGTACTCCGTTATTTTTATTTAAAGCACAGTTATTAAAACTAGTTTAAAACATAGATATCGCGATTTCAAGACAAGACATAGGATCAGAGAAACGTCACGCTTGCAAAACAATGCCGAATTTTATCATTAATGCTAAAGGGTGAGTAACTATGCGGAATTAAGACCATGCCTTCGATGACCAAACATTCGTGACCATAGTATTTTTAACGTAAACAGGGGTCGCGGAAAACTTTAATGCATTCGAAGGCGTTGCGAGCCTAAAAGTTTGGAATGCACTGCTCTAGAATACAACGTCTATCTGCGTATATAAAAATGTGAAATAAACTGCCGGAATATACTTAATTTTGATACCTATTTTTGCGATACGGGTATATTTAACATGCATTGATATGGGCACATTAAAATGTCTTGCTTTGTTGTTTTAAACTTAACCTGCAATTGCTTTGACAAAATATAATCATTACTACTGTTAAATACCACCGCATGTCGCGGATATATATAAAAACGTGAGATAAAGTGCCAGATTACTTTTATTCAGTGTTTGCGATATCGTGAAATCAACAAATGTGATTTGTTCTTGCAACAATGACTTGGCTCTATTTTACAGATTTCACCAATAGAAAAATCCCTTCGTCTGCCATAAAACCACACCGATTAAAATTCAATTTAGTACCATGAAAATCGGTTGAATTTACTTTACTTTGTGCCATGGGCACCAGAAGTTTTTCAGTTTCCAATTTCTACAACAGCGTTTTAATCTGTCGCAAACCTTCTAAATCAATCTTGTTTCTGTCCGGTTTTTAGTATTTTATATTGCCGCTCTGAAATCTCGATTTAGGTTGCTTGCAGATGCACTTCCTTATCTTTAGCATTATTATATCATGACTCGTTTTTCTCAATGGTTTCACAGTTCCGTATGCTAGACATATGTTGAAGGTGATTTGTGATTTGAGTAGAATAATCACCGACGTAAAAGCGTTTACGGTCCAAATAACATCTCGAGCTGACGAAAACAATCGGTCATTTAAAGAAGGATTGTCTAATGGTATTGCCGACTTTTTCATTTTCCTAAAAATTTCTTTCGTTCAAAGTTAGAGTATATTTTATATGTAAAGAAAAAAGAAAGTGTCCACATCTAGAAACCTGCTCGCGGGCCGGATGATACGTTGCCGCGAGCCGGATGTGGCCCGCGGGCCGCAACTTGCACAGGCCTGCTTAGGTATTGTTAGGATAATAAAAACATGCTCAATTAATTTGAATTATCATATATTTTTTATCATATATCATCATTTATTTTATTAGGGTTAAGTTATTCAAATTTGGATTCATTTATTCGACTGTGCGGTAAATATTTGGATTTTTGGAACAACCATTATTTCCCTGATTGAAAGATTAAGCAAATATTAGTTTTATAAAATTTTGAATCAGTTTTATTCTGGAACAAGGCTTTAAAATTCAAAAACTACTTGAAAAGAATAATAGTTTAAAATTGAATGTCTTGCCCAATGGCAAATCTGGTCTTGGGTAGAGTCCATTTTCATGATTTTGTTGGCTAAATAGAAGATATTCAAGCCTCTCGCAACTGGGTATTTATCGTCGTCTCTGTCACAAGTCAAGTCATTGGAATGCAGGTGAGCCGCGTATATAGGACGTCACACCAACTTTTCTCTCAGTGGGATGAATATAAAAATCCTATTACATCTACAGCATCAACCTTGTATATGGTTGCTAATGGCAACTGTCAGTACAAAGTCGCATTTTCTTCAACGTCTAGAAAAAACAGGACTCGGCTTAACACTTCATCTTTTCACTAACGGTTCCAGTGGTTACAACGTTTTCATCGAGGTCTCGCTGCGCCGAGAAAACTTAATATTTCCGGCTTGTTTTGTCTCCTCAAACTGACACGTCATCTTTAATATAATGATGAAAATAATATTTCTCCAAAAAAATGTTCGATTGTTGAAGAATCGATTATTTAATTTCTTATTACAAAAGCATATTTCGTATAATATATTCGTTCTAGGCAATGATTTATAGAATTCTGTTATGACAAATGGAGAAATGGCCATAAGGCAATTAAGACTTTAAGCATACAAAGCATAGCTTAAAATCCAGTTGCTGACTTATACTTGTTGAGTATTGAAACGATTTAATGATCTTAGCCTTTCAAGTTCAACTAAATAGACGGCCTTCATCTAATTGATTATTAGCCTTTTCCGTTCAAATTTAAAGGAATGCTTTCAAATGGTAAAAACAATCTATATGCAATGAAGTAAATTTCTCCTTTCATTTATTTTCCAGCTATTTAGATACGCCCATGGATTCGGCAATTTTCAATCTATTTTTATACGTCATGCAGAGTTTATTATTTTCTGAAACGCTTTAGTAGAAATTCATTCATATTATTTCTTTTATTTATCACCAACCATTTTGCTCTATTTCAATCAGTCCCATGACAAGGTGAACTTATAATTATACAATTGACACTTACAACACAACACTGTATAGAAGGCAAATTTTATTCCTAAATTATACTTTTTCCAGCTGTCTAGCTAGATAACGGTGGACTATTATCTATTGCTTAATTAACCTGTATGAAAAAGTTCAATGTCTTTGATAAAACCATACACTATCACTAAAATCCGACAAGTCGCTTGTCGCCTTTCAGTGGCGTCAATTGTCGGATCAATATGTTATCGAGTTGTGACTGAAAGTTTCCAATTTCCTAGATTTAGTTTGTATTCCGAAATAAGAAAAGTATAGAATACATTGATAATTTCGTGCAACGAGATGAGAAATTTTTCATAAATGTAACGGAAATGTGACAACAATATACGTACCATTTTATAGTATTATTGGTTGAATGCTATCGAATACAAAATATGAATTCGCGTACAAGACAATCACGTTACGTCCATGATTTGGTTCGGCGAACAGACGTCAAAAAGTGTAAACAATTCTATTTTCATCAAATCAACTGGAAACTATCTTGAGCACGTCCAATGACTACGCACAAACAGACATATATTGCTTATTCTTAGTGGGTGAAGCTCACAATCAATAGAGGTTATCTAGCTTAGCATATAGAAAAGAATATTATTTTACAACAGGTTTCATAGTATTCCATCAAAGTCAATGAAAATTGAGTATTCCTGGTTTAGAAATAGTAAACTGGAGGTTAGTTTTCAGAGATAAATATTAATTCTTAGCTCATTACGTCGTAAGCGTGGGGAAGGATTTATAGATATCTTAAACATATAATTTTTATAGAGAGTAAATTGGACCAAATATGACGTCATATTAATTATTATTGTTTGGGATTACCACATATCTTCAAATCTCGTTATGTGGTTGTTCTACGGCCTCGGGGATAAAAATATTGCTCATCGAGAATGGGGGATTAGTCGGTGAAATTGGCAGTAGAATTTAGTAAAAATACAACCTTTTTGACGCTGGATTGTGTTTTTGGTTAAAATTCAATCATCAAACATCATTTTTGCAGAAAATATGAGCGCTGTTTCAAAGTAGTTTGGATTCTAGAACAATAGCATTGGTGAACAATTAATTACTACCATAATCAGTATACTAAGCAGCGTATTCATTTAATATATATCTCCATAAAATTTGACGGTACCCTCCGGGTAATGCTACAAACAAATAATTGGTAATAAACAAATTGATAAAATAATTGGGGATGATATAAATGTGATCGCTGAGTTATTGACTACCAATTAGCCATTACAATAATCGACACAGCCGAGAAGCATACGCGCTGAATTAAAAAGTACGGCTTGTTGTTTGTTCACTCGAAGCAATATTGCAAATGATGTCATTGTATCGCATTTGGGGAAAATGTCCGGGAAACTTTTTTGAAAGAAAGACGAAAACGTTCAAAGATTTTATTTAAGATAACATTATTTCGAATTAGAAGAAAGGCTGTGTATATACATGCAACCTCATATTAAATTGCATAGGTTGCATAGGTTTCCTGGTAGCCTACGCAGAATATTTATTGACATATTCGTTTCGACTCATTTATTCGTTTCGACTCATTTATGAATGAGTCGATCTCAATGCCATATTTCGTAACCAGGAAGTTGACTTGCAATGCAAATATGTTGTAAAGTGAGTGAATCGTGGATACATCTTAATTTTATTTAAATCATATAGAATACATGTAATTAAATATAAAAAACACTCTCACATTTTTGCTATGCGTCATTAGTATGACATATCGAATTCAAAATAAGGAAGTTGTTTGAATATGAGTCCATTTATCCATCAGCTAACGAAGTGATTAAATTGCAAGTAATGAAATAGTCGAGGACAGTTAAGCTACGTAAGTAAAGGAAATTGGGTGGAGCTGTATTTCAGGTTTGCAGGAAATTCAACGCTAAATGATTGATTTGATAATGTGAAAAATTGATAACAGAAGGAGGTTGTAATAGACTATACGTCATGTTTCAAATTGCAGGCATAATATGCCATTTTTACCAATTAGGCGATCTACAGTCTAATCCGACGCAAAGTTTTGGCTTACAGAATATTAAACGAGTTCCATAAATATGTCCAATTCATGTTGGAATATTGATGTTATTAGCAGAGCTGAAAGTCGTGTCGGGTTTGGAGCTTTGTTAAATTCAAGCTTGTTTCGAGAAAACGACCTGGAATGAAAGAAAACACAACATCAAACTTCAAATCCTTTAATATTATAGTTCAAAGTAATCTGTAAGTTTATACAAGCTAGTTGGAATTTATTCCAAATAGGCGAATTTTACTGGCACGATATAAATGGAAGCATTTCGAACCACGATACCATACCGGTACTCTACGCACATGCGCCGTCGTGCCCGGGTGCAGAGAAACTGCAATTATCGCAGACGTCACTGTGAAAGGATATTGCGGCGAATTCATGATTTTAGATACAATTGAGGTCTTTGGCGGTGTTTCTTACCCAAACATGAGCGACAAGATAGCAACTCATTTTTAGTAAATTAGCATTCATGAATAAATTGGCGGCCAAAAATAAACCTTGTTACATTTTTTTAGATGTCGGCTTGCTTTATATTACTACGTACTTCATAGATAAATCGAAGTTGTCGAAACTAAAATGATATATATGCGACTTTTTTTTTTATACATTTACGAGTACGGACACAAGCACTATGGTATCAGGAGATTTTCCGAGCACACTGGCCAATGTGACTTCAAGAAATTTTTCGACTTCAACTATAGAGTAAGTTTTAGATAAGTTATATCTATTTCTGGGAGACGTTTCATTTAGTGGACGCTAAACCTAACAATTTTAACAATGTTAAAATTTAACAATTTTATTGAATTTTATTCCAATGGGAATCCCATGGGATGGGATGGGACAGGCATAATTGCTATGGGATGGAATGGGACCGAAAATATGTTCCATGGACAAGCCTTGAAAAATTATATGAACCCACATAAAGATAAAAGTAGAGTTACAAATGACCAGTTATTGAATCTTTCATGCAAAATGATTCTGGCAAGTTTTAGTCTGGTCACCACTCTCATTTGTAGTCATATTGGAGTTGGCTCTATTGGTACATATATTCAGATATAATCAGCAAGGTCCATTTGATGAACACAGAGTATAAACAATAAAATACAAATATCCATTTGTAAGAAAGTGAGTGCGTTCTAATTGTGCAATATTAGTAAAATCCCAGCCATATTATGTTGAATATTGCACCAAAAGTTATATGAATTTGCATTATTTGAACAAATTAACAAACTTTTCGGTTTAATATTTTCCTAGTAATAAAGTATTAACGCTCGTTTATTGCATTTTAGGCCATATGAGCGACCATTCGGAGATTTTGCAATCTGGTTGTCCGCATGCATCATATTTACTTTCCTTATTATAGGATTCATTCTGAATTTATTGACAATACTTGTAATATACAAGTATCCAAAAGTGAGGTAAGATTTATAAAACTATTAAATTGATATAATTATAGTCGCCAATTTAACGTAAGTCGTTAAAGCCCTAGAAACATTTGGATCGTTAAGAAATGATAATGTAATAGGAATCTGTTTACAGCCAAGCCATGATACGCATTCTTTTCGATTACAGTATTCCGCGTATCATGAAAAAGTTTGACATGTATTTGATCTTTAATCAATAATGTGAATTAGGCAATTGTCATACAGAACAGAGTGAAGTGTAAAATTATTGGGATACGGAAAATTGTTACAAATTCCAAACATACTTCAAGTATTTGCGATATTATTATTGACGAAAACTGAAACTTAAACAAAATATAGAAGCTTTCATAATACTGCTAAGATGTTCTATGGACGTCAAAATAGTTTCTAATAAATATATAATATTTTTACAGGAACTTGTTTGTGTATTTTATATTTTCTCTCTGCATTTCGGATTTAATATCTGCTGTCATTAGTCCACTTTTCTGGTATCGAAGAACTCTGGGATTTGATGTCTGGGCGATACCTGGTTTCTTCTGTAAGGTAATTCTAGATTTTAGCATTTTGGAAAATTGGTCAAAAAGTGAATGTTTATCCAAGGTTATATATATACAAAATAATACCAGTCTATAATTGCAGCTGTTTTAAACTGTTCCCTTTTCACTATTTGTCTGTGTACCAGAAATAATTTTTGACTATCAGCCCCTATTATAATTATCCTTAATGTTCTCTGCAAATCCATCCGCTGCTGTACAATCCGGAATAATCTAAAATACTGTTGAATTTCAAGATTTTTCAAACATCTCAGAAAAAATTCATAACATTTTTGAAGTAAGTCGGAACACTTGAACGCATCCCATTTACAAATATTTTGATTTATTATTTCAGTTTTTCTGGGCAGCTGATATTGCAACGTCATTTGCCACGGCAATGCACATTATGACGTTCGGATTTCTTCGATATTTTTCCATCAAGTTTCCCATTCTGTATTACAGAATCACGGACAGGAATGCAATTGTAAGTTAGGATATAAAAACATAAATATGTTTACAAAATTTAACTCGTTCGAAATTGACAATTAATACCACAAGGAATGTAGTCCCTGGCGCTAAACCATATAATGTTTAAAAGACTTGTGACCGATTACATTTATTTATCCGTTTGTTTTTTGTGTATCCTACTTCCTTGAAATTCCGGGATTTCAGCACATTTGAATTTGAAAACTTCTATCTTTATACACTAAACGTTTATGGCTGAAACGCGTGCAAAATTTAAAAAACAAAGGCTTTTTTAGTTGGCTTTTCCTTCTCCCAAATGAGTATTTTCCAATCTAGTAAAAACAACCTTTATATACCTATTAGTAGAGGATGCGCGATACTAAATCTCTATCTATCCTCAATGCCTTTGTGCTGGTGGATCTGTATGTACATAATGCAAAGATGCTGTAGCAGGAATAAAAATACCTTACTATGCAATTCAAGAGTCCTATGCTGCAGAGTAACACAAATGTATTTCTGTAACGTTTCGTCTGACCAAAATCAGACTTCCTCAGACAAGCAGTTTACAGCATACCATATAGATATATATAATATTTAAGCACGAGGGCGTATTCACTGAAATAATTCTATGAACCTTTGCTGGCAAGTTTGTATTTGTATTGATAAACAAAATATATGTTCATTACATTTTCTAAATAACAGATTGGCATCATCGCTATATGGTTTATAAGCATAAGTTGCGGATTTATTCCCTTCTTCATATTTTTCGGTGCACGAGTACGAGATAGATATAGTGATTCTGAAGACGCAAGATGGCCAGCCTGTACTATAAATATGGAATGGTAAGTTACAATGTGCGAAAAGGAATACTATTAGGTCGAATTTCGCTGACCCTTTGCTAGTAATTTTCAACGTAGTTCTGCAATAATGTCTACAAACGAGGCAGCAAAAGTTTGAAAACATAGAAATAATAGAGTGGAAGTCAATAGCTCATTTCTGTAATATTCTGAAACATTATAGGTATATCGGTATTTAAAATTCTGATTCGATACCGGTTATGACGAAAAAACTAATATTTATAACTACTTATGAATCAGTAACGCTCATTTCTAATTGCAATTGGCGTAGAAGGTAGGGATAAAGAATATACATTATATATAAATATTAACAAAAACGCAAATATAATAGCCTTTTTGTTTAAGGTATGAGCAGTACACGCTGTTTCAGAAGATTGCTTATCCGCTGTTTCTATACGGTCCTCTTGTGATGGTAGTATTGGTTTCTGTGATGATTTCATTCCAAGTATACGCTACAACACAAACTAGAGCAGCCAAATCAGCCAACGAAACAGCTTCAGTAAAGAGAAAGAAAAAAGATAAACAAGCTGTCGGACAATTGATTCTTATTGTTCTTTCGTTCCTTATTGGATACATTCCTTTTACAGGTTAGTGTAGCACCTATAGTCATGAAGTAAATGTTTGTGAGACAGCGTTCGCTGTTTAATTGACTAATTTATGTAGACAGACATGTAAGAAGCCATTATATAATTTATATATTTGATCACTTTTCGCGATTAGGGTCACGATATTTTAAATCGTCGGAAAACAATTATACGAACTAAATGGAATGAATATTCATTGTTTGATGGCCAATGTTCTGACAATTTTGAATTAAAAACATCTTGACGTTCGATTTAAAAATACGCAATTATGCCACTTTGTACACAGTTGGACATTCAATCCGCATCGAAGACAACTGCAACGATTCATGGAATGATTCGACATTAATTGACTCAGTCCAGTTTAATAAATGTTCTTAATTAGAGTTGTAAGAAGCGTATCGGTACCAGATCATCAGCACGTAGTCGTAACCTTTCCCTTTATTTATTGCGCATGCCTGCATTTGCATCATTTGATTTTTGCCTACGCAACATAAGATTGGTGACAAAAATAGAACGCAATATATTTTCAAACCAAAACATGAGTCAACAATGCTTCCATTGCCTCTTATTATAGTTGCTATTAATATTGTAGAAGGACCAAGCCCAATTTCGGGATCTATCCAGTACTTTCCCCAAATGTCCCCAGGAAGTAACTCTCACAAACATAAAACGTGTTGAACCTATTTTTGTCGGCTTTAACTAGATCAGACAAACTAATTAACAACTGTTCTGTTATTTTTAACCAAATTTGAATATGTTGTGATAAAAATTAAGTTGGCGCTTTCGTAGTATGTGAACCGAAATGGCGGGCACCGGAACGTAGTATATGTACCAGGTTAGGGTTATAGGACATAATTTTATCCAAATTTTCCTTATTTTAGTTCGGGGACTAGCCAAGTGACTCCCGTAGTATTTGTACCTGGAATTTTGGCCTAACCCTAAACTGGTACACATACTACGTTCCGGTGTCCGCCATCTTGTTTTACATACTACATGAGTACGGAATTAAGATAATAAATATTTCAAAGTAATTCACGCAACTTTAAATTGCAATGAAATTCTTGTGTTTTACATCAAATAAAGACTCAACTTTTTCTTTGCATTATTTATATGTTCTACCATATATTTTGGAACGATCTTGAAGGGAATACTTTTTGCAATCAGACCCAAAGGGAAATTTTCGATGCTGTTAAGCAAAACAGAGCTGATTATGTCCAGTTGAATATTTACTTCTGAATATTCTATTGCTGAATTCTTCAATTAACGTAGTTTTCTCTTTTTTACAGTGTACGAGTTTTGGTCAGTGCAAAGTCACCCAAACACGCGATATTACAAAGTTTTAGATTATTGGATGGGATTATCAGAATATTTTTTCATTCGGTTTTCTGAATGCTTAAATCCAATATTCTACAATCTTGGATCCAGTAAAATGAGAAATTGCACTAAGACATATTTAGAAGAAACCTTTGGAAATACAGAAATCAAACGAAGAAGAAGTATTACAGCTCCAATTTCATCCAGATCGAGAAACAACTCAGTAACATAAATTATTAACATAGTTATGACAACAATAAAAAATGAAGCCATTTTTTATAGTGAATATAATTATGTAAAGCTGTGTTTGTTTGAAAAACTATTTATTTGAGAACCAAAAACATGAAAAAATATTTTATTCAATTAAATAGCGGCTTAAACCATCCTAAAGCAAAATAGATTAGTCCAGGCTTTCACTTTCTGCGCCGCGGACCATAATTCGTGAACCTTTGTTTTGACGGACCTACATCATATGCTGTATCAATTTCTCTGCCCAGCGAGGAACGAAGAAGGACAATATTTTATTTACAACACTACAACAAAAACGATATTGATGTGATGAATGAGGTGACTCCTCGACATATATCTTGTTCTTTCATTGATAAGAGCTGAAATGCTGCCTCACACATGCATATCATTGCAAAAAACAACACAATTTTAATTGCTTTACTTCTAACAATTGATATTCGTCAGCAACGCTTGGCCAAAAAGATACAATGGAATTTTGATTGAAATAAATCATTAAAGATCGATCAGACTCTTTTCATATGGTTGTGGACCACCTGTGCAGTCATCATGGACCCCCAGGGGTTTCTGGACCCTAGTTTGGGAAACCCTGGATTAGTTCATTCCTTAGGGATTGTTTGTAACAACAACAACAATTTGAAACGATCTTCTTAACGAACCACTTCGTGATCACTAATTAGAAAGAAATGATCTGTCTGATGATCATGCATACAATATCCCTTCTACTTGCTATGTCTTTCAATGTTATGTTACTCAATATTACTTAACAATCACAGCGCCGTCCAATATATATATATATACAATATCAAATGTGTTTTATAATTTATTTATTCTCCTATTTAACTTGATATACATTCATGTTCCATTTTCATCGTTTGAAATTTTACCCTCTATTTCGTAGTCAAATTCATATTTCTTCTGTTTCATTAAATTTTCGCCGAACTATAGTTTATTTTTTCAAGATAGAAATACTGAATGCGACAATAAATACATTGGTATTTTGAAAGTAGCTTCAAAGACTAGCAGTTATTTATAATTGCATGTGACGTTATTTTAAATTGCATCTTCTGTGTCAAAGTATGCTATTGCGTGACATGTGTAACTGAGTGACTGAATTAGCTTTTTACCGACTGGCGGGACATGCATATTATTACGTATTTTTGTAATGGTGTTATTTTTAAAGTTGTATTGGGAGTCATAAGATAAATATTAGCAAGTGATGGAAAAAGCCCACAGGAACTGGTCCAACGTTTCCAAAATATTATTAGTCAATTCGTCGAAGCCTGATGGCGACAACTACGGGTACGATAACGGATTTGCAACAGCACTTGCGTTGAGATTCAAGTCCAGCAGTTTTTTTTTTATACATAATCATTACCGTACGATCCAAACCTGTATGCTTTTCCGATGTGTAGCATGATGGGCAAATTAACAAGCCTGTAAAAATACCTATTCGTGTCGTGATATAACTATCATTCTATTTTTTGATACGTCTATATTTTCATTTGCCGATGTATATTTAATTGTTGTAAACGAAATAATGTGTTACGTTTTATGCAAATTATTCTAAATATAATTCAACAATTGATAAATATAATTTCTGTGGCTTCAAGTTGGGAAACATAACAAGTTGTAGAGTAACCTAATTTCACTTGCAGAGAATATAAAAGCTGGAAAAATGATATCAAATCTTAATGTGCAGCGTGGGTGATAGATTAGTCAGAATAATTGTTTTGCAAGTCATAATCAAATTGATGTGATAAGCAAAAAAATAGATTTTATGAAATCATAGATACATTTGAATAATTGTAAGCATGTTCGAATTAACCTCAATCGAAATAGTAACATCTGGGCCTGAAAATATCAGTTCTTCGATCGGAACGGAATTCATCAGCGCAACTTCAAATGTTTTACCGAACGAGACGTCAACGTCACGGTGAGTCTAAAATTTCTATCTATCTGTGATGAATGTTTAAAAGTATTGGAAGAAGGAAGTATTGGACTTAATGTGAATTTTCATCATGTTCTACTTCAATTTGTTAGAAAAAAATTTGATCCTTGATAGGCATATATGATAGTGAAGTTTTATTTCTTGAACAACATCCATTACTAGATTTAAGATTAATTTTGAATATACGCACGGTTAAAAACTTGTTCCATCACAACCGAACACGTAATAGTGAAATATAGTTCGTGTTTCACATAGATGTCGACTTCACAAACAAAGCATATGGGAGATTCAATCTACAGGTAATGTTTCACTTGCGTTACCCACAGACTTTACGTTTCTGTTACTATTTTTAAATAAGGATTTGAAAGATCAATAAAAAGCCACTGAGATGTGTGATATATTATGATTGACAGAGCTAGAAAATTTTTTATTCTCAGACCTAATCGACCATTTGGAAATCCGTCTATTTGGTCAACGGGAGTTGCTTTTTTATTATTATTCATTATTGGAATCGTATTGAACCTGCTAATCATCCTTGTCATCTGCAAGTATTCAAAACTGAGGTAATATAACTTACTTGTCCATTTATTCGTATATCGCTTGAAATGCTTTGCTTTATTTAATTGAAATAAGATAAAACCAAAGTAAGATAGAAGAAGTACTTCCCTTATTTATAACGGAGGTCATTCAAAATAAAATACTATGTCCAACAATGATGCACTCGCCAGTTTTCATTATCATTTCGGTAGTCATCGGAATGATGCCTGTTCAGACTCAGAGCTCTTATTTCTAATATGTTACAACTAAAGGCATTTCTTGTTTTTTCAGAGATAAATAGAAAAAAATATTATAAGAATGTGATTGCAAACTATATTGAAATTTTATTTTGCAATGAAGTAACATCTAACTATATGCATTTACATACGTGTTCGAGAATTTACACGAATGAATAAAATGTTCGTTTTTGATTGAGTCACCGAATAGTCTTTAAATCATTAATGACAAGTTGAGTTATATATGCCAGAGGTCACTTCATTGGTAACTGTGTTAACGAATAAAGAATATGTTATTTCTAATTCAGAAATTTGTTCGTGTATTTCATTTTTTCTCTCTGTGTTTCTGACCTGATATCCGCCATCATAAGCCCACTGTTCTGGTACCGAAGAACACTAGGATTTGACGTATGGAAGCTTCCAGAATTCTTTTGTAAGGTAAATTGCCATTTACACATAGATAAACAAGTAATTGTAAGTACCTTTCAGGGAACATTCTTGAATGTGGCTTGTTGGAAATTGATTGAGTGAATGCATTGATGTGATATGTTTCGGGAATTTCCAAGTGCAGTGGCACAATGATATTATTTAAAATATTATGTTCTGATATAAGTTTAACAGTATAAATAACGCTTAATTAAACTGCGTTTAACTTACTCAATCTGGCAAATTTTTAATATTAACATTCTGTGTTTATCGTTCGTAATTTACAGTTTTATTGGGGGTCCGAAATAACAACTTCGTTCTCGACAGCAATTCACATAATGATTTTCGGACTGCTACGTTACATTGTGATAAAATTTCCTTTTAATTCACAAAAACTGACGACTAAAATGGTGAAGGTAAGATTGTTATATAAAGAATGAAGTATGACCAACATGTAAAAATTTACAATTCCACAAATTCCGCATGCTTCAATCGGTGGCATTTACACCGAGTAAAGTTTGATTTCCACAAAATAACTTGAGTCAAAAATGAAATTTAATATCACTGGGCTTTGTGTATAGTAAATTAAATGATGTATTATAGATATAGAGTAACTACTCAATCCCTCTCAGACAGCTATAATGGTCGATATGTAAGAAAACTAAGTTGCTGCTACAATACTACTGGATGTGTTATACATAGCGGACATTTCGTAATCTCAGCAAAAACCTTGATTAATCAGATTTTATGTGAATATTATATTATTTTGCTATCACACAAAATTTTTGTATTTTTCTTTTAATAGCTTTCGCCTTTGTGTTCAGTGTATGCAGCATTTTATTGCTTTACTAAGAAATGATTATTCCATATGAAATTACAGTATATAGTCATTGGTTTCTTTCATAATTTTTCTTCTAAGTTTTTGTGAGAATCTTTTCAAAAGCGTAATTTACAATACCTATTCACATTATATAAAATATTGTTCATTACTTCTGTAGATAATTATTGGCGTGATTTGGTTCGTGGTAATTACTTGTGGATTTGTACCTTTTTACATCTTCTTCGGACCGCGACAAAGTGATGACAGAGTTTCTATTTGGCCTGCTTGTACAATAACAGATGAATGGTGAGTTCATGAGTAAACGCATTAACGTAAAATAGAGGTGATCGATTTATTAACGGATTACTCACCAAAAGGTTAGCATGGAATTTTCATTTAGGCATATGTTTTATTAAGGAACCGTCGATAAGTTTCGGCGATATGCTTCTATATATATATCAAATATTATGAACATATGGTTCAAAAGAAAATAGGAAATAGGTAATGATATACTATTTTCAAATTTGATATAAATCCTGCAGAATACAGATGACAAATTCTACTGAAAAAGCAATAGTTCAATCACATTAGGGGTGACATACTTAAGCAGCTCTTCAACATTTCTCAAGGAACACAGTATGAATTAATTAATCATGAAAGCTAGATGCCCATAGATATCGGAAATTCTAACTAATCCACCTAATGTCATGTCGGTCATAGCAACATTTCTGCGTACATTGTACACTTAGCTTAAGTATGATCTGTCAACGCAGAGTCCAGCTGAACAAAGTTAATTATAAGGACCTTCCAATGCTTTCGTTACAATTCTTGCATGGTTTTTTCCTTAATTTTTCTGCAGGTACGACCAATATATATTGTACCAGAAAATTGCATATCCACTATTCCTCTGTGCTCCTCTTCTGGTGATTGTAGTAATGACAATCTTGATATCGACGCATGTTTGCATTTTTTCTAAGTCGGACGTTTCAAGAGCAATGAGTGTGAGATCATATACGAAAAGGCAGAAAAATGAGAGAAATGCTGTTTTCCAACTGCTACTCATTGTATTATCGTTTTTAATCGGATACATTCCATTTATAGGTAAGATAATGGAAGGGGTGATAGGAGTTTGAAAAATATTTAATTTCATCAATTTTTATTCTAATAAAATAATTTTGCATCATTCTAATTGTTTGTGTATATATGTATTTGCAGCCTACGAGTTTTGGTCGGTGGAGGATGGTCATCCCAAAAGTGAAGAACATCGCGCAAAAGATTACTGGTTTGGAATGTCCGAGTATTTCTGTCTCAGACTTTCAGAATGTTTGAATCCAATTTTCTACAATATTGGATCTAAAAAGATGAGGAAGTATACACGTAGATATATAACAGAAATACTTGGAAGTGTAAAACACAGGAGCATTAGCATTTCTATCCCTACAAGGAGGAGCAAAGTTTGAAAGTTCGATCGAAGTATCAATTTGAATTCCTTCCTCACAATATTATATTATCTTTTTGTACGGTTGACTGAAGCGAGTGCTGGATTCCCGCAATACATAAAATGCGGGATAGTTGTCTGTATAGAAGTTCTAAAACAGGGTACGCCTAGAGGAGAGCCATAGGGGGCATGCGCCCGGGCAGCACGTTGTAGGTGACAGCAGATCCAAGTTGTAGAGTTCGCGTTATTAAACATGTTTTCCTCGATGTGTTTATATTTAAGTAAAATTGGACATTACGTGTTCAATATTGTGTGACTGATCGTGAAGAGGCAATGGCTGACTGGCGACTGCCCTTCATCGCCAAGGTGTTCGTCTGTTCATTGCGTGATTTAGCGCAATATTACAAACATTTCCTTCTTACTTGACCTTTAATATATTCAGTCTCATGTACAACATCTATATTTTGTTTATCCCCCTAATTATTTTTGGAGTTAGGTATAAACATAAAGGGCATCATTATCAGAAGCATGCCCTGGGCAGCGGAAAAGTTTAGCCAGCCACTGATATGAACCCATAGTCCTTCACAATTGCTGATCTTGTTTTGTTTTCATTATCAAAAGAAAAAAGTAACCATATCATGTCAAATGTAAATAATGGAATCAAGTAACTACTATTCCACCATTCATTGCTTTTGTTATGCACTCGTCCTTGCGATCATGCGTAGGGTTTATTCATTAGTGACGTTATAAAATTTAAAAAATATACATGAACATTTTTCAAATTTAAAAACGCATTTTAATTGAAAGTGTGAGCTACAAAAAATGCTTATAAAGTTAATGTGGATATGAGGTAAATTCATATTAGAATTACAACAAACTTACGCTTGTATATTTCGCATTAGATCACTTTCATTTGCTGAAGAATTTACTATGTAGGCCTACCAAATAATTTAAATTGTGAATTGCTTTATTTGTATGATCCTGATATTGCAAATAAATAATATTCTAAACTGTAAATAAATAATATAGAAAGGTGGTCGCTAGAAAAACAGAAAACTTATCAAAAAGCTGTTTATTCAAGTTTTTCCCCGTGATGT